GACCGTCAGATATATTTTGAAACAATTAAAATGCCAGACATCAGCTTATTGTGCCTTGGTAGCAGCTTCATTGCTGTCTGCGACTGTGTATTCTGCACATCTGACAGCCCACTTAATTTGCGGTTAATTTTCAATGAAAAAGAAACTTTACTATCCAACAACAGTGGAGACTCGGGTAACCGGCATCTATTCTGACGACGAGTAAATCCGTCTTACGCATGAGTCGAAATTTGAAAGCCTCATTTAAAATGACTACCATTGTCTTTGAAACTATGAGGGACAAAAGTCTCGGGCGTTTCTTGCGTCTGTAGTGTAGTTTTGCCTTCCGGTAACGTTTTGGATATTCTGGCAACATCCACATTTTCACAAAGAAAGCCAATTAATGTCAGAAATCTCAGCAAATTGGTCAATCGAAAGCACTTAGGTGGCGGATCAAGGAGATCCTTGGCACAGAATCGCTGTGCGCTCTAACGGAATCTGAATTTACGCCAAAAAAGCTACCCTCAATTGCAGTTCTGTTTACAGAAGTCTTGACATCAAATAGCTGGAGTGGAAAAATAGTAAATGCTCTTTGGGGTGGCTTTTCAAAGAGAGTGCACACTAATTCGATTAACTTTAGATGGAGTCTTTCGATATCATGGCAGAGTCTATTTGAGTACGAATGTGGTCCCGAATACCACTTATTTGAGAGAAAGGAAGGAATGGAGGTTAAAGGACTCTCAGATAATAGGGTCTCTTCCATTGTTGTGGTGCTTTTGTGTCGAAAAGAAGGCTGATTATTTGAACTGACGTTTCTTTCTTTACCTTTGAAAGTTGCTTATCTTGTTGTACTAGTCAGAGGCTTTCTGATTTCCTCTCCCCCTGTTTTATACCAATTATGATTTCACTGGGGGAAAGCAATGCAGTAACCTAACTAAGCATAGACTAGATTAAACACATACTAGAAAAACAAATAACATTTCCATTCAGAATCTCACGGTCGCTCGACTGACTCGCTCTTACACTGAAGAAGTTGTTTGCGGCATCTTCTCACAGCTAGAGAAAAAAATCGCTTTCCGTAAATGATTACGGCCACATGATCATTATTTACCATTCATGTATGGTATAAGGCACACTCTGACTTGCCTTGTTGGCACAGATAAAGAGGTAACATCTTTGTTTTCTCTCTCTCCTTCCTACACAAATCAAGAGGCGATTGAGTTCATCTATTCATTAGCTCAGTTCACTGTATAATCTGACTGTTGCCATGAGGTTTCTCAGATTTTATAAACTAATTATTCATGTTACTTTGAAAAGAGGCTCACTGATTTTGCCCTATGTGCATGCGGACATGTCCCACCCGAGAGGATAAGTAGTATAGGAGTAAATCAAAGAGGTGTGCGTACCGATTATAGGCATCGCGTAGGGCTAGTTCGTAGGCGTGTTCTGATTGGCCGAGGGCCTCCCAGGCTTTTTCCAGAGTCGTCAGTTGGAGGTCCGCTTTAGTTGGCATGTAGGGACGTGCTCGTAACTCCTTGGTCAGCAGGTCGATTTTAAAGAGAATTTCTTCAAGCCTCGCTCCTTCTTCGGATCTTTGGAGTGGCCAAACAGGAGTAAATAAGGACCCACACATACGAAAACTTGTCAGTTGCATGTATACAATCAAAGTGCTGGGCTGAAGTCTCATTATCGCGCGGCTAGAGAGCCTGTTCTACTTTCTGGAGTATTTTGACTGCGCTCTGTTTCTTGTACAAATATTTTCTTTCTTTTTAAGCATTCCGATGTTATGAAAGCAAATGAAACCTTGATTTTCTAACTTTCTGCAAGAGAAAATGTGAGAGATCCCTGAAATGTGTGGTCTAAGTTTTGGGTGTGATCCCAATAACTCTTATTTCGGCTGAACGTCTAGTGACGAAAACTAGCTCTCTACGGCAGGTTGGCCAAGTATTCGGTCCTTAGTTTTATACAATCTTCAACAACCAATAGCGATCACTGATGTAGATAAACTCTACGATCTCTCATCTGAGTATAAAGAGCAGTAAGATAAATTGGATGGGGACGTTACTTTTGAGCTTTTTCTCCTCTTCTGTATTGCGTAAATTGGTTAATGAGCTGACTGAGCTCCTTGGTGCTTGGTGGCAGCCTGTTGATGGAGTTTTTAAAGTAATTCGTCTTATCGCGGATCCATTTCAGCAGGGCTTGGATGGAAGCTTCGTACTGTTGGATTTTGCTACTGAGGTCAATAGTTTGGTTAATCGTCTAAAAGAAAAAAGATCAACAAGGTGCGAGTTAATAACAGAAATTCTAACAAAAATGCGACTATATTTCAAATAAGGCTTCTCGTAGATTTGAACTGCATTAACAGTTGACAAAGTAGATATGCACAGCTCTCTTTGGCATACAGGTGCTTTAGAATATATTTTTTTCGGAAAGGGAGATTGTATTCCTTTCGGTATGAATCTTCGTTATAGGTTTAAATGAATAGCACTTAACCTAATGTTTTCGCTTTCCGTACTCTCTTAAGTACGTTTGATTTTGGTAATGAAGATATGTGCCAGTATTTGAAGCCTCCTTAAAATACCACAGAGGAATTTTACAGACGCTACCATTCGGCTCTGTTCCATAAGTTTGTAGAACCATTTATGAGCTGGGTCGCTTTTTATTGCTGTCAATTAACTGACATGCCTGATGATTGTGGACAAACGATTCAGTAGGAATTCGACGCTTAACTCCGAGGTTTCCTGCCAAAATGAGTAACGAAGTAAATAGCCACGGAAAGAAGTGTGCCGCTGTTGAAAACAAGGGGCATTTAAATGGCCTATTCTGGCTTATGTCGCGTCGACAAGACGTTAGATGTGCACCAAAACACAGGCTGTCCTGCCAACAGTTGGGCCGCAGATTCTCGCTCGGTTGACTGTGGTCACGCATTTTGAGATATACGAGTCCACCACTTTCAAGCAGTGCGTTTTGACTCAAAGCTTTATTCTAGACCCCTCCTGCGGGATCAAAAAGCCACGAACAATCTCCAAGGGAGAAGCGTCGCTGACGAGGAATAGGAGAAACTTATTTGAAACTGATGGCGACAGAAACAACCATTCTGTCTCCCTTTATTGCCGATTCTTACTATGTGGTCGCCTGCGAGGACATTTGTCCGAACTTCGTAAAGAAGCATGGTGAGTTTCCACCAGTTGGTGGTTTAGATTTATCGTCTATCTAGTGAAGTGTAGTAACCTAGACCGCTTGATTGTGGTGTCAAATGCTCAGGCAAATGAAGTTGTCATTCCATTCTGAACCCAGCTTATTTTTCTTCTCATTCATAGACCCCATAGAGCTGTGTTACACTTAATGGTCATATCGCGATAGCCGTCTCGTCTAACCCACGAAGTCAACTGAGAAGCCGGTGTGCCTCGCCAGCATTGAAGAATTTATGCGCGAAGCCAGCTCCAATGAGAAAAGAGGCACCAGTCGTATGGCGGTACAATTAGACACCACTCTGTGTCAGGTCACCCGGTCCGGTTAAGCCCTTTTCTTGTCGCCTTCACAATCGCAAAGCGATATATTGATAACGTGCAGTTCCTTCGCATTATAACCCACTCTCGCGTCAGGCACCGCCATGAATACGGACTGAAAATCTAAGCCGGATGATGTTCCATTGGTTCATTTATGTGCGTGCTCCAGACTACTCAATACTTAGTTAAGTAGCCACCATCGGCACTGCGTCTTAGCTGATTTGCAAAGACTTGTATTATGCACAAAAACTCATATTAGGGGCAATTCTGATTATCGTCAGCGCTAAAGTGCACTGTGCCCTTTGAGTAGATTTCCTCTTCAAGATGAACTTGAACAGTCAACGCGTTGTCCCAAAAGCAAGAATTTATTGCTGCAAAGGATGCTGTGACCCCTTCTGACGTTTGACGAAATTTGACTCTATGCAGACACTGCGCCGCTTCATGCACGTTGGCTAAAGGCCTAACGACTGATTCACACGAACGAACTCAAACTGTCAGAACACTCGAAAGACACAAATCGACACGATAACTACAAGCATAAGAAAGCTGTTTTTTTTTGGTTATTGCTTTTTTTCACCCAAAGCACAACGATAGGCTGTATTCGGTTCATGTGGGGCCTAACATCATCTCATTGGGACAACGGCGACTTAAACGGCAAAAATAATAATTACAACAATCTGCAGCCAAACAATAGCTTCTAGACCTGTTTATCCCACTCGGCTTTTCTGTTTTCCAAAGTAGAGTTTTTGATATTGGTTAATTGCAAGAATGCTTGATGTGTAATTCCGTTTTATTCCACTAGATATTGATATGCAGATCACTTCACAACATTTTAATGTCAGGCGAGAAAACAATGTGAACACGATGCTTATAGACTGTCTTTTATCCCGTAATTAAAAAAGTAAAAGCACCATAGTTTCACTCGAACCTCCGTCCAAAGCTTCGGGACTGCTACTTTCGGGGCTAACCGAAATAGTGTGGTTTAATAGTAGAATGATTGTGTTCCTGGTCAGCAAATTTCATAAAATGCTTCCCCTAGCTGAAATTTAGAAAATGAGCTGAATCACCTCGGGAGTCGTTAAAGAGGGAACGAGAAGGCTGAATAAAGTGTGTTAGCGACACCCACATCCGGTTAGAAGATGGTACTGTTTTCTCCTAATGTATATATCCCTTGGTAAATAATGAAGCCCGCCTTTCGGCAGATACACTGAGGGATGCTTATAGCCTTAAGGGTTAGAACATTTCTGAATATACTTTTCGAACCCTTCAAAACCTCAAGTAAGAAGCAAGTGCGGATGCAAGGGGCCTATCATTAACCTGAAAACAGACAGGAGGATTTCTAGCGAACAACTGAAAAGTCGAGTGATGTGAAAAAATGCTAGGTGTTTATGGATAATTTACCTCTAACTAAACCGGCCTCCGATAACTAAGTTATCGCTGTCCAATTCTATTTATCCTTCTGACCAATCGGTATCATGATTTTCTTGAGTAGCTTAGTCAGCTTATTTAAGTGAAGGCAGACTGTACAATGCCTATTCATGGCATCTCAACATGTAAACGCAAACAGCAATAGAAAAGTAATTCGCCTTACATTCCCCATAGCACATAAAATTAACAGAGCTGTCAGGAAAATTTACTGGCTATGTGTGTTGGGAGCAGGCCTAACAGACTTGTTACAACGTTGTCCTGAGGACTCGTCCCACGGTGCACTATCCATCGGCAGAGGCCACGCACCTGATGAGATCGCACAAGCCGCCGGCCGGGATTAGTGCTCTGCCCTACCATTCTGGTGAGCTGGAAAGCCACTCAGCATGTTGCCCCTCAAGGAGACAAGCTGATTAGTCCGATTACATCAGTTTGTACATGCTCTGCCTGCCTTAAACTACCTGTACTAGTTACATAAAGGGACTTCCACTTTTGCGCCCTTGCTGTTGGATTTTCCTTCGGAATTCAAACAAGGCGACATCTAGGCCTTGGCAATATTATAACAGTGCGTGTGTTCTGATTTTCAACAGATTGCTAACAGGTGTACGCTAAGATTATAGAAATGAATATTACCAAAAAAGGTAAGCTCTGATCAAATACTGCACAAGGCTGCCGTCAGGTGAAAATCCAGCTGCGGTCACAGGCAGCGTAGCCACGCAGCCCTAAAATAGATGCTCAGTAACAGATTTGTCCAATGGCAGTTTGGTCAGTTTTGATACAGTTGAAAATAAACGAGTGCGATTCTATCGAGGCGCAATAATATCCTTAACGTTTTTTTCAGTATTTGATCGAGCATTTGACTCAAGCCCTCTAGGTCTTAGGTTTTTAATTACCGCCAGATGAAGCAAGGTCTTGGAGACCGCCAATTGACTGAAATCGAACAAACGAGAAAACTCACCTTTCCCACCCTGTGCGCATTTAGGTCCTGGTTCCGTTTTTTATTGAGAACATGGTAGAGTGATGAGACGTAGGTCATGACGGATCTTTCGTCTGGTTTTGGAACGTCAACGTCTACAAGAAACAAGGTCTTACAGTTAAAAAAATGTTTTTGAGAAAGTGCCAAGTAGATGTCACATGCTGCGCAGCCCACAACAAAGCGCAGTCCGTTAATTGCTAATACAGTAGCCGCCGAAGACCATGCAACGCTAATTATGAAATTTGCCT